CTTAATTTGTATGCAACCAGCTGCATATGTGTGCAATTAATTGGGTTGACACAGACTTTCAAGTTCTCTCAAAATCTCCAAAAAATCAAAGTTTGAGAACATTCTATTTTATTTGCATAGCATATCAAATCTGCATCCTGGAAAGAACCTTAAACTCAGATTAGTAATTTCACATTTAAAAATGTTCTAACAATTATTGCTATAATATCAATTACATTATTTGTACACGTATCTCGTAAAACACCCAGCATTCATCACTAACCTGCTTTATCCAGTTGCAATGCACATGTTGCAAGTCAAGTTTGAATTGGCACAATTTTGTGAACATTTACATGTAACAAAGGAAACAGTAAACTTGGTTCGTAGCTGGCAAACTTTAGAAACACAATAATTTTGTTTCAAATGTAGGCCAGTGAAGGCTGTAATAGGGCAAACTGTTCAGCTAGGCAAGAGATTTTGGTCCTTATGTAATTATGAAAAGGTGTTTTCATGGATATTTTTTGCCTACAGGCATGAGATCATGTATAAAGCAGTTAAGGATTAGTAGGTGTAATCCCCACATGCTATGTAGTCAGTAAGTAGGTTTTTGGCTGAAATCTGGATTTCTCTTCCAAGGTGTAGAATTCACCCCATTGACTACTGATTTTGTACTGTGCATCATTATAAAATAAGGTTCCTTACTGTGTTTGTGGGTTATGCTCTAAATTAAAATCCATTCAGCTGGGACTACATCAACATGCTTTAACTTGCCTTGAGTAACTAATAATCTTCTGGACTTTTTTCTTTTTCTCTCTTACAGGAAAAGGTGGATCATTTTCTAATAAATCAGCCAGAAGTGCAGATAAATTTAAATTTGAGGACATTTTTAGTGGTCGTTTTTCTCCTGAAGGGTATACCTGTGATTGGATATCAGGTAAGTTTTCAATATGTATGTGTATCATGACATGTGTGACACAGCTGTAGTGTACAGGTTCTGAATAGGGGGCATTTTTGATGCTAAAAATTAATTTTACTGGCTGTCATGTCCACAAAGTTTGAAACTCTTTAACTGCAATGTATATAATATACTTATTACGATAATTATCATTTCAGATGATGAATATATCACTAGTGGAAAGGATGGATTAGTGTTAAAAGATGTAGCTCATGATACAACATACGTTCTCGTGGATCCTAAGAAAATGGTGAATACATGACATTATTTCAGTAAAAGATTCTGTGTATTGGAGATAGTTGAGAGATCCGTCATATCTTGGCTACCCTTAGAAAACACCAGCTACCCCCCCCCCCCCCCCCCCCC